GATATACATATATGGGCTTCAGCCTGGGCCTCTGTTATAGAATTCAACACAGGCATTAATCCATTTATGGTGGGGAATTTTTAGTTTTCAGCCAGCTCTAAACCAATCAGGAATTCTCTGAACAGATGTATGCCATATTCAAGTTAACACTTTTCTTGCAAAATGCAACTGTTTTAATGGAAGGATTTATCAAAGATAAGACAAAAGAATAATTCTATTACTTATCTGATAAATGATCTATGGTTCCAATGATACTACTATACTTTCCAAATGAAATAATTGGCTATAAACTCCTTGAAATCTTAGGTTTGTGTCTTGCATTTCATAAATATTTATTATCTCTAAATATTACTTGAAAGTGTGCCCAGAAGAGAGTAGTTCTTATTTGGTAAGTATCAGGCATCCTCAATCTTTTATTTTCCTCTAGTCTTGTAATCATTGGTGCATTGAAGGGGAGAGTTCACAGTTAAAGGACTCCATTGTCCACAAAGATGTCTATGTCACAGAAGCACCACAGTATAGAGAAGACAGCCTGGTGCAGTCCAAAGTTCACTGGTCATGAGAGTGTAAACATGGGTTCTAGTTTCTGCCTGGCCATATAGAAAGATGGTGATAAGGAAGCTTTTGGCAAGCTTTGGGTCCAAATTCCAGCTCTGCTGTCTATAAGGCATGCCTTTGGTATGTTATTTAACTTTCTCAAGTCTTTGATTTCTCATACATAAAATGCGAATACTACCACTTATATCAAAGGGTTTTATGAGGATTAGGTACAGTCAGGTACATAAAGTGCTGTGGTAAGCAGAATTTTAAGATGGTCCCTATGACCTTCACCCCCTGGTGATATTCCCATGATTATGCTACTTTATATGGCAAAAGGGAGATTATCCAAGCATGTCTAATCTAATCACATAAGCCCTTAAAAAGCAATGAGTTTTCTCTGGCTGGGGGCAGAAGAGGAAGTCGGAGAGATTTGAGGTGCAGAAAGTATTCTACACACTGTTGTTGGCTTTAAAGATGGAGGTGGCCATGTGTCAAGGAATGTGAGTGGCTTCTAAAAGCTGACAGCAGCCCCTGGTTGACATCCAGCAAGGAAACAGGGACCTCAGGCCTACAACCACACGGAAATGAATTCTACCAACATCAGGAAGGAGCTGGAAGCAGATTCTTCCCCTAGAGTTTACAGATGAGTCCAACCTGGCCAACACCTTGATTGCAGCCTTTTGAGACCCTAAGCAGATAATCCAGCTAAGCCTGCTGAGATTTCTGACCTAAAGCATAAACAGATGTTGAGTTAATTATTAGGTGTCGTTTTAACCTGCTAAATTTGTAATAATTTGTTACGAAGCAATAGAAAACTATTACAATTGCTTATTGGCATGTGACACATACGAACTGTTCATGAACTATATTTCTTACTAATAACTCATAGGCTCAAACAAGTCATTTTAACTTCCTTGGGTTTTAGTTTTTTGATCTATAAAATGAGGTGTGGTTAGCTAAGGGACAAGTTCCACTCTAAACGTCCCTAAGTCTAAGAATTCATTTTTAGCCTTTTACAACTGTCGTGACACACCTTGAATAGGCAGTCATGCCTGCTGGAGCTCTTCCATTCCCTCTCCAGATCCATCCCACCCCCTCAGTACCCTGTCTGTGCCCTAGGAGGCTGACCCCTAAGAGCTGCAGCAGTGGGCTACCTGTCCCCAGCAATGGAAGGTACGAGCAGGAGATCTGAGCGACGAATGGAGAAGTCCGAGTATTTATTTCCTGGCTTCCTATGAGAGTACAAGGGGCTAAGGGGAAAAGTGATCCCTTATTTTACTTGGGGGGGACACGGATGCAGGGGAAGAGGGTACTATGGACTGAACTGTGTCCTCCTAAAATTCATATGTTGAAGCCCTAACACCCAATGTGACTGTATTTGAAATGGAGATAGAGATTTTAGGAGTCAATTAAAGCTGTATGAGGTCATAAGGGTGGGGTCCTAATCTGATAGGATTGGTGGATTTATAAAAAGAGGAAGCAAGAGAGAGACCTCTTTCTCTTCAGGTGCACACACTGAGGAGAGGCCAAGTAAGGACACAGCAAGGTGGCTGTCTACAAACAAGGAAGAGGTTCCTCGCCAGAACCCAACTCTGCTGGCACCCTGATCTTGGACTTCTAACCTCCAGAACTGTAAAAAAAATAAATTTCTGTTGTTTAAGTCACACTGTCTATGTATTTTGTTATGGAAGCCTGAGCTGACTAATCTAGAGGGCAAGAAGACTTCTCAGAGGTAGTGCTTGAGCTGAGACTTGAAGAATAGGAAGGAGTTTCTGTTTCCTGGTGGTAAGATTTGGGGTCTTTCCAGACAAAGGGAACATGTAACAAGGCACAGAAATTTTAGGGAGCAGCACGTATCCAAGCGGTTGGAACACAAGGTGCTAGGAAGGGAAGTGGGAGATGAGGCTGGAAAAGCAAGCTGAAGCCAGATGTTGAGGTTTAACATCAAAGGCCAAAGACTTTGCTTAAAGGATCAAGTCCAGTGGGAAAGCACTGAAGGTTCTCAAGCTATTGGGAAGTATGGAAGGGTATCCATTTTCAACAGACCATTCTTGTGGCTGTGTGGAAGGCCAGACTGGTGAAAAATGGAGAATAATTTAGCTCTGACTTTCACAATGTGCCTCGTGAAGTGCTAAGTGTCTCAGAAGTCAAGTGCCACCATGAAGATGGAGAAGGAGGCTGAGTGGGTAGGGTCCTGGGACCCCATGTTTACTTCAATCACAGCAGTTCCGTGGCCCGAGACTAGACCTGGAATCTTCGTTACACTCAAGACAGCCAGCTTAGAATATTTTACTTCAAAGACTACTGAAAAATAGCTCATCTGCCCTCAACCTGTCCAGCTATGGTGAAAAAGTCAAGGAATTATCAAGAATTCTGAGAGAGAAATGTCTCAACTCACGCAGGGAAGAAGACAGAGCTACTAACTAATACCATCTGGACAGACTGGATAAACCCAAGATAAATTGGAATCTGTGCCAAAGGCCAAGTCTTTCATGGCTCTTAACAGATGCTCAGACTACACCCAGGTAAGTAAATGACTCACTGTGGAAAAATAAAATAAAAAAGTGAGTTTCAAGCCACAGACATTTGTCCTTATCTGACATATTTTCATCTGAAAATATCCGATTATAGTGACCTGCAATAGAAAAATAATACATAAAGCAAAAATTACTATAAATGAATCTTCTGCTTTAGAGAAAAGATGCTATCACTTAGGAATGAGCTTTAAAAATCTCATTAGCAGTTTTTGGTAACTGTATAGCCAAACAAAAGAGTATCTTAAGATTGTAAAGTAAGAACCATGGCCAGCAGAGGGCAGTGCGGCTCTCCGCAAAGCCCACTGTAAGCACGGGAGAGTGGTGGGCACATGAGGAGCTGGAATACTCTAATCTATGAAAAGTATTTCGTGTCTAGTGACTTTACCTTTCTAAAACATGACAGATGTAATGCCTAACTGCTATGTCCCTTGAAAAGGCAGCGCAAGGAAGAGCTTTCAAGTCTTGTAAGTAAAAAACTCCCTGCAAAACTTTAGCTTCCTACAAAGAAAGAACTGTATCATCATTTCCGGGAGGGCTGAAGATTCTGTCACCTTCACTATTTAAAACAACTGTCTTTGTTTCCTAAAACTGGCTAAATAAACTAGCTTTTTAAAAGAGCCTAATATCCCAAATTTTATTTGTTTACAATCTCCTTTAACTTACACTGTACACAGCCCTAGAATCGGATGAAATTTTTCATTCTGGAGAGTTTCCTAAGGAAATATGCAGTACAGAAGTGGTTCTCAAGTGAGATACATTCCAACAAGGCAGCTGCCATCCTAATGATGTATCATTGATCATCTTCATTGTTTCCTTCTAACATCATGTGCTGATTTTAGCTTTGAACAGACTTATGAACTACCATTATAGTCTTTTATTTTTATTTTTTGTGAGGAAGATCAGCCTTGAGCTAACATCCATGCCAATCCTCCTCTTTTTGCTGAGGAAGACCGGCCCTGAGCTAACATCTATTGCCAAACCTCCTCCTTTTTTTCCCTTTTTCTCCCCAAAGCCCCAGTAGACAGTTGTATGTCATAGTTGCACATCCTTCTAGTTGCTGTATGTGGGACGCTGCCTCAGCATGGCTGGACAAGTGGTGCGTCAGTGTGCACCCGGGATCCGAACCCGGGCCGCCAGTAGCGGAGCGTGCACACTTAACTGCTAAGCCCCGGGGCCGGCCCCACTACCATCATGGTCTTGACAGCCATTGCTGAACAACATTTATGTTCTTCAGAAGAACAGGTTTAAAATATTGATTTTAGGTTTATATGATATACAACATTACTTTAAAAAATACATGCAAGTAAGAACTATAAAAAATTCACATTTTTGATCCACTAACATCTGTCCTGTATACAGGCACTTGACTCAAATCAAGACACTGGCAATGAATTATTTTTTTAATTATCATTTTAAATTCAAGTGCTTCAAAGGTTTTCAGTAGTAAATCTACAGCTAAAAATTTTGAAGAGACCTAGGTTCAAGTCCATTTCCTGGCAACTAGGACATGAAGGTTCTATTCATCATTCGTATTTATTGTTTATCGCAAATATACATTCAAGATGTGCAAAGTTACCAATTTTTGAGAAAAGAATAATAATTAAATTAATGAAGTCCTGGGAGAGTGCCACAAACTTATTTGCCACCCAGAAAAGAGACATATTCAGTATTCTAGACTCAGGAAATCTGAAGGACAGCAAATAAATCAAACAATTCTAAATACAGTTACTATGGTCCAATTAGCTCACACTTAATGAGAGGAAGACAGAATAGATTTCTTTTTTATTTCTTTCTTAGAAAAGAATATAACAGATCTGCAACTTAGCAACCATGCTAGAGACTTTGTAATAGATCTCCACTGTCTAAGGAAGCACTGCCAAAGAGCAGAAATTACTACTGTGGTTGTAGTTTTCACAACATTACCTCCAGAAGTGCAGTTCGAATCCTTCACATTTTTCTTTGCATTTTAAACAGGGGGCTCCAAATCCTTGCTCATGACCTAAGCCCATCTGTTGAAGAGAAAACAATGTGGATTTATTACTACATTTTTAAAAAATCTAAAATATTCAATAAATTGCACTTTTAATTCCACTTACTATTCCTGTTGATAAAATTTTCAAACAAATCTTTTATGAGTATCACACTGTTTAGTCAATGATGATACCCAGGTATTATATGGCGACTCCAAGTACATACATAACATATTTTGTATTCTTATTGCTTTTTTTCATAAAAAGAAAAGCATCAGAATACAACAATACAGAAGACTACAAATACCGCAAGTCGCAAAAAGTCATGAATTTATATCTTTGGCCATTACATGCCCTGTATATAATAGATACAGGGAGCTTAGAAAGCGAGCCTGGCTCCAAATGGCATATTCTGCAGCCAACAAGGAATGTGCGAAAGATTTTAGGAATTACCATTAAAATTTTATATTATGATAAATATAATAATAATAGCAACACCAACATGTATCGAATGCTAGGAATTGAGCTAAGCACTTACCTCATCAAAATCTTACAGAACCTCATTAAATGCTTATAAAGTGGGCATATCATTTTCTGCTTTAGAAATGATAACTGAAATTCAGAGACGTTATGGAACTTGCTTAAGATCAAAGTGTTAATAAATGGTAGAGAAGAGATTTGAGTCCAGGGCTGTCTGACTCTGAGGCTTATGCTCATATGCCCGGGGTGAGGGGTAGGGGAGATGTACTACTGCCCTTAACATAGCAAACCAATTTTGTTTTTTTACCATATTAAATAATAATTCTTGGGAACTTGCTGAGACACAACTAGATAAGCAAAAGGGGTGGGGGTGCACATGAGGGAAGGACACAAGAAGGCAACGTAAGCTCTTTTATGCAACTATTGGCATTAGAGTAAAAAAGATCAGGTGGATTTGTATGAGCACACTGGCAAACTATCAGCTATCTGCTTATTCTGTATTTTAAATATCACATCAGTGACTACTGACAAATTTGTTACCAGCTAGTGCCTGGAGTAGTCACTTCAAGCCCAATAAAGAACAGATTGTTTTCAATGGCACCCTTTTGTAACCTTATCAAGATGTGTTTGTCACTATTCATTCAAAACCACATTGTAACTTGTTCCTTGAAAGATCAGCCTGACCATGCCCTGAAGTTTAAATGAAGATCTTCCTTTTTCCCTGAAGAAAATTACCACATCCTCTTACTGTAACTAAGGGCATATTCAAAACCAGCTGGTCCAGTGGCTGCTAGGAGAACCCATGTTATTTTTAAGTCAGACAATCTCAAGCATACTTTCTAATGGTGATAAAATCTGTCCAGCATTAACTAAACTTCATCACCTTTGCCATGTCTACATTACCAATTTTCAAAAGAATTAAAATTCTCTAAATTGTATACTTTAACACTAAACTACACTTTTTTTTTTTTTTGAGGAATCAAATTGTTTCCTTGTCACTGATGATCACAGCTCACAGTACAGAAATAAAAAGGGCTAAACAAAAGACAGAGAGATAGTTGTTTGAGTTTTCTGGTCTTTTGTAAGGAGCATAATAAAGAGATTTCTCCATTACAATATTCATAGTAAAATGAACAGAAAATCTAAAAGGTGTATTTCTTTTCAAGCCCTTTCTAGTTTTCTATTCAGGAGAGTTAACAATCCTGAACCCGCCTGGTGTATGTGAAACTGGCAAACAGTTAGCCATTGATGATTAAGCAGCTAGTAACTATGGAGGATCGGAATTGGCCACCTCAAAATATGTTTCTGCCTGAAAGACACTTTGGCCCCCACCCTCACTAACTGACCAAAGGAGTTTGGGATGGGAGGCCTGCCCCCAGAACAGGCCATCACCGTAGACATCTCCGGGTATCTGGAGGGTCCTTGTTAAGCCCATTCTTAGTTCTCCTTACCCTTTGTAAGAGACATTTACATTTGTAGAGGAGATCTCCATTTGTAAAGGTATCTTCTTCCCTGTACCAGGAAGAAGGAGGGGATGGCCTTACCTAGAAACTTATCAGAACGGAAGTCAAGGACTTAAATCTGCATGATAAACTTACCCATTGTTAACTGTGCTGTTTAGGCAATATGCTATCTGACTCCCACTAGGTTCCTACAGATAACATCCCCCTGAAACCTGGGTCACCAAGGTAATGGGTGTTTGAGCTATTTTTTTTCAGGAACTGAACCCCTTGTCCACTTCAGGCCAGATTGAGACCACCAACCCATCAACTGGACCCATGCAGACATGTGTCCTATAAGCGACATTTTGACGTCAAGAGGTTGGAACTCCACCCTCAGGGCATGCTAATGCCGCCATTCTGTGAACACGCATCCTCCGAAGAGGCATGAAGCCTGACTACGCTTGCGCAGGTCATCCATCACCTCATCTCTCCTCACCTCCAATCATTTCAGACCACCTTGCCCCCCACCCCACAAATATTCCCGAGTCCCTATTTTCGGGGAAGCAGATTTGAGATTCATTCTCCCATTTCCACATTGGGCTGTCTTGTGATTAATAAACGCTCTCTCTCGCTGCAATCTCGTCGTCTCAGTGATTGGCTTTCTGGGTGGCGGGCAAAAATGGACCTGGTGCGGTAACATATAGATTTGCTTCATACTGTGTTCCACGCATCTCCTACTCAACTCTGATCCCAAATGAAAATTAAGATTACATTATTAAGGCTTAATCACATAGCTCAGCTTAAATGAGTTGCTTTTACTCTCTTATATATAATTCACAGTCAGAAATACGTTTTACCTCATGACACAGAACATGCATACACATGTACAAACTTACCTGTGTGTAAGTATGTGTAAATCCTGAAACAGAGATTTACAGGCTTAGAAAATAACTAGAACTAAGTGTGCTTCTGCCTCTAAATTAAATGGCCACCTAAACAAATTCCTGCCTGCCTTCAAGTCTGAATCACCTGGTTTCAGCAACACTGGGCTTAATAAAATACTGCAAACATACTGGAACAATACCATCTCGTCCTCTACTTCTGAATAAAACTTGAAAGCTCAGCTAACATGACTAGAACCTCAACTGGTCAGCAGAGATTTTACATAAGGCCTCAGCATAGCTCACTGCTGATTTACAAAGTCAGCCTTGGAAAGGGGCAAATTGTTTCTTTCCCAACTGCTTTTTAACTTCTTAAAATAGTAATCAATTTCTTTATTACAATTAAAGAACTTGTGGTATTCCATGAACATCTACTCTTTTAAAGTGCCCCACATATTCTTAGTGCTGGACAGGCCTGGGCATCCCCTGGTATAAGAGATCAGGAAACTGAAATCCAAAGGAGAGATGTGCTGCTCCTGGTTGCACAGCTAGTCAACAGCAAGCTAACCTAAAACTCAGTGTCTGACGTGTGCCCCACCATGCTGCTGGGGCAGACCTCTGTAGAGTGTCTGAAGGGAGTCCTTCAGTCTTCCAAAGAGACTCCTGGCTCATTTCTGCTTCAAGGAAAAGGACTACAAGCCCCAAAGCCTCCTGCAATACCTCTAAATGCAGATGACTTTCGGAGAGCTTTATAAGGGAAGATTTGAACCTGTCAGGGCTGTGGGGAAAGCTCTTTTGAACAAGTGATGCTTAAACTGCCATCAAAAGGATGAGCAGCATCTAACTCAGTAAAGAGGAGGAGGAAGTACACTCAAGGCAGAGGGGACACCATATGCGAAGGTCTGTGGCAGAAGAGAGCATGGTGGGGGGCAAGGACATCTTAGAGCACTTGAAGGGTGACAAGGCCAGCCTTGCAGCAGGCAGGGTGGATTTTTTTCCCTCCTTTTCTTTTCCTTTTCCCAAGGAAGAAATAATGTCTTGAAGCATTCAGCCCCATGTCTTGAGCCACCAGGTTTAACAGAGGAAAAGACATTCCCAGAGAGAGGATGAGAGGAAGCGCTAGTGAAAAAGCCAGACAGGCGAGGGAGGGGAGAGGACGTAAGGAGCAAGAGCACCTCTCAGTTCTGCTACCCAAATCTCAGAGGGGGACCCTCAGGGAGAACAGGAGACCCGACCCTGAGAAACGCAATAATTTGAGAAAATGGCAGCCTGCCCTGGGAGGCTCAGAAAGATTGCCCCAGTGTTCTTCCACCCCACCGGCCTGCCTGGAAGGCCAACTTAACCTCCACAGAGGCTCCTTCCAGCATGGTTGTGACCACCTGAAAAAGCGTTCCCCCCATCTTTCCAAACACACACTTTCATCTTCTCCACATGCTCACACACAAGGAGTGAGGGGACTCTGAAAATATCCCAGAGAGAACAAGTAAATGAGAGAGAGTGGAATGAGGTCATGGCAATATGATACACTCTCTCCTGCTATATAACCGGATGGAAGCAGTTCTAATGAAAAATAAACACTCAAACAAAAAAGACACCCAGCTTTCAAAACCACTGTTAGCAGCTCAAGAAATTAGAGAAAGTTTCAGACTGGCCATGAACTTATTTTCCTAGGAGAATTTCATTAAGAGAAATTATTTTCTAGCTATAAAAGTTAAACCTCACTGACACTAGCATTGAAGATCTCTAACTTATGCCACATTATTGGGTGGGAACTTCTTCCATATTCTTAGCCTCTTTATCAACCTCTATTAGGATAAAAAAGCACATTGCCACTCAAATAACAAAGATATGTGGTTCCCACTCTAGTGTTTTCCCCGCTCAGTAGATTGCCTTGTTCCAGACTGAATTATAATCCAGAGTGCAATTGTGTTCTCTAATCCTGTTAAATCCAATTTATATGATAAAATCTTACCAAAGCAGACATATCTGCTGGTGTGAGGCAAATTTCTTCTGCTTCTGTTCCCACCCCCTTTTAGGCATCTAGGCATCTGCTGTTCTCCTCTTCACATGTCAAACATATATCAGATGAAGGAAAATGTATTAATTCCACTCTGTAGTAAAACGTGTTTCAGAGCCAGAGCTGCCCCGGGCATGGTTTCTCAAGGCCTATTCCCAGGCCTTTCTGGCAGAGGTCACAGGAGCTGGGATTCCCCATCTCTTCCTAGTCTCAGTTCAA